GATAGCTATTTCAATGGATCAGTGCCGATGTTATATCGTTATAACTTAATTAATTTAATTTTTATAGATTAGGCCAGTTTATAAATAGTCAAAATCTCAACTGGCTACTCGTTAATGTTATTTATCTTGCCATTCAACATGTTATACTTTTTTAATGTTTTGTTGTCAAATTGGAGTATTTTGAATTGCTATATTCAGCTTACAGTGGAATATGACTTTTGTGGATTCAGAATTTCTTTATTTAATTTTTTTGTATTTTTCTTTACTTTTAAGAAAACGATTACCTTTTTTTATTTAAAGTAATTAAAAATTAAAATAAAACCATAGCTACAATGAGATTGACCAATACATATAGCGTCATTTATTTTTATCCTTTTTAGAAAATCACATATTTTTAGCATATTAGTTGTTTTTGAATGCAGTATCTATAGGAAACATTTTGAGAGATTTACTTTCTCCAACTTGACATATAATAACATATATCTTAGCTAAATTATTTGTGATCGTAATTTAAAGCAGTTAAATAAAGTTTTATATTCTGTAGGTATTAAAGTTACATACACAAGTTTACATTTTTTGTTTGTATCTCTACGACTGTAATGGCACTTATGTTTGAGTTACATATACAGGTTTAGATTTATTATGTTGTGTATTTCTATGACTGTAATGGTACTTATGTTTGATTTACGTACACAGGTTTAGATTTATTATGTTGTGTATTTCTATGACTATAATGGTATTTATGTTTGAGTTACTTACATAGGTTTGGATTTATTATGCTGTGTATTTCTATGACTGTAATGGTACTTATGTTTGAGTTACGTACACAGGTTTAGATTTATTATGCTCTGTATTTCTATGACTGTGATGACACTTATGCCTGAGTTACATACACAGGTTTATATTCTTTATGTTTGTATTTCTATGACTGTAATGACACTTATGTTTGAGTTACATAGGTTTATATTCCATATGTTGTGTATCTCCGTAACTGGAATGGCACTTATGTCTGAGATACACTTATATATATATATACACTGGTATATATATTTTTATGTTGTGTATCTCCGTAACTGGAATGGCACTTATGTCTGAGATACACTTATATATATATATATATACACTGGTATATATATTTTTATGTTGTGTATCTCCGTGACTAGAATGACACTTATGTTTGAATAACTGACAATCGTCTGTTAACAGACTGTAAAATAGACTTTTTGGCAGATTAATTTCAAATTTTAATTTTTGTAATGAATTTTAAACTTACTGCACTGGAATCATGTTAATATTTCAGATGACATCTGTTATGCTAGAAAATATGACATCTATGAAAACTATCGTGTGTTAAACCTAGAGGTTCAATGGTTAATCACTTTCTTTAATTTCCTAAGGTTTATTAGCCCTATTATTTTCGTCGGACAATAAATAACAATGATTGGCGCTGATCATGCACCCAGTTCTTTCTGTTTCAGTCTCCTGAGGCTGACAGCTGGTGCATATCAAAACGTCGAATAATGCAAGTGTTGTTTTAGTATAAGGTTTTTGGTGACATTTGAATGATGTAAACAGATTGAGTGTAATTAGTTAACACCAAAACATAATACAACATTTGTAGTTTTAATTTTATACTTCCTGAATACGTGCACATGAAGTGAGAAAACAAGTAGTGCAAAATATTAAACAAAACGTCACTTTATTTCATCGCAATATGCCTCTATTGTTTCATACAATATGCATTTACTAACATTACATATTTATAGCTAAAGTTTCAAGATAACAACACATTAAACATAAACACCATAGAAAACATCTTTGTAAAACACATATGTGTGACTTTATAAAGTTTAGTGCTATCTCTTATCTTAACGAATTTAGAAAAGCACAGGTCTTTCGAACGTGGTGTATTATCAAAATATGATGTTCTTCTTTAATAAAACTTTTATGGAAAAAAGTAAGCTTTTTCAATATATATATATATTTTTTTTCTCTCTCTTGATTACTGTCAATATTTTGAAAATCTTATTTCTGTAAATGAAGCAAGGTACTAGGGTTTCTCTAAGAAGAAACAGTTACATGATCTAAAAAACAAAGTGTATGGACGTTTTGTCAAAATCAGTAAAAAATCGATTGAAAAATTACAAGCAAAACTTAGAATTAAATCATCATAAAAAAACTTCAGTCAAAAGCATTTTCCAGGTCAGTTATTATATCACCAGAGTTAATCAGTAAATTCGTATTGCAAAATCTTTTAAACTAAAATATATCTACTTAAGATAAAATGAAACTCTTTTTACAATATTATTGCATTTATTTTTCACAGTACCCAACTCCATCTCAGTTTTTAGAATGACCTAATGGTTTTTCATATTATCCAGCTCCATTCCAGTTTTTTAGAATGACCTAATGGTTTTTCACAGTACCCAGCTCCAGTTCAGTTTTTAGAATGACTTAATGGTTTGACTTCTCTTAAATATCTACAAGATTATTGCATCGGATAGTGGAAAATTAAATTTGAAATTGTATCCAAATTAAAGTAATTGAAGGTGAAAAAACGCTGTCGTATTTTAAATGTCTATCTCTCCTTACTTGGTACATTAATTGAGAAATATACTGTAAGAGTTTAGGGAGCTGGTTAATTTTTTAAGTATTGTTCTACTTTTATTATTATTTACTCGACATTCGACTGTTAGAATAAAATATAAATTGCCGTTAAATCCTTTGTTAATAATTAAAAGAGAAGTCAACAAAATGTGTATTTTTTAGATACAACAGAATCGAAATAGAAATGAAATAGAATAAAGCAAGCGTAAACTGTAAAATTGAACGTAACTAATCTCAGTCTAAGTGTTACGAAACTAATACGTCTTAGTTAACACCCAAAACATGTTTTAACCACCTACTAATGCAACCAACATAGCCCCATTATAACAAGGACAAATGAACTTGAATTTCATATTCACATTTCTTTATATCAAATCCTTGCTTTCGTAATTTAACTTCATGTTTTGAATTATTTTAGCAATATTTATATGAAGAACTTGAAACCTCTGTCAAAATCTATACATAAAATGTTCTAACAAGTACTGACAAAGCGTAATAACATTTAAATGTTTTCCTACTACTTTCTGTACAGCGCTAGTAATTAAATACGTTTAATTATATTCTATAATTCATAAAAAAGTACGTTATTTTTTTCCTACTCTACAAAACTAATGATAATATCACAACCAAGTAATGACAGTAACATCGTCCAATGAGCTGCTATTTTTTTATCTTCGGTTAATATAAGCTTGGTTAGCAATTAAATACGTTTAACTAGATTCTATAATTCATAACAAGTACGCTGATTTTTTTCCTAGTCTACAAAACTAATGATAAAATCACAACCAAATAACGACACTAAAATCGTCCAATGAGATAACTATTTTTTTTATAAGCTTGGCGAAATTTTTATCAAGAGTTGTGCCTATTTAAGGTTTTAAACGCAATTGAGCATATGCATGAAAGACAAAGTGCTATTGGAAAAATAGTGCTAACTCGTTGACCATTAAAAACTTGGATAAGGTTTCTTGAGTAAGTTTAGTAGTTTATGAGATACAATATATTGCATGATAACCACAAAGCTAAATTGCTTGAAACTAGCAGTTCATGATCGATTTATCCATAGTATAACACGATGTCTCGTCTCTTTTATTATTATTTTTTTTACAATGGCAGTAACAAAAATTATTTCCACAAGTGCAAATTTTTGGAAACTAATTGTAGTGCGCGACTACATTTAACAACCATCTTAGATTTCTAAGGCTATATTGATGCTTTCACAGAATAATGAGCATTGAAAATAAGTTTCATAACACAAACAAAGCAAACGCCTTACAACATTTATGCTTGTGAAAGATAACGTGTTTAATATTTTACAATTTTTAATAAAAATAAAGTTAATTTATACAATACGCACATATGCAGTATTGTGAATAATTATGGAAACTGTGAGGAGAAATGGTAGAAAAAGGCAGGTTCCACCCCTTTATCGTGTGAAAATGAACTGCTCTAGTGTACAACTAGGGGTGAAGAAAGGCAAAAGTTTCTTACCACCCCGGGATGTCTTTCAGGCCCCAACATCTTTTTTAAGGGTTAAAAGATTTTTAAACCTAAATTCCTGCCACGAATTTGATTTGATTTGATTCCAATGTACAGTCATATGCTGATACCTTACAGCTACACTGTGATTGGTTATCGTCCAACCAAACAGAAGTGCCACATAAAGTACAGATGTAAAACTTCTGAGGCTGTATGGGTTTAATTAATTTAATTAAAACCTAAGAAGGTCAAAAGCGACCAAATAACTTAGCAAAAGTGTACAGAGTAACAATGTAAAATTTGAAACAGGATTCCACAATGATAAATTATAATCTCTATGTCAGCATATAAACAAAGTGTATGTAATGCTTCAGGGTAAAGCAAAAATCTCGCACACGAAATACTAGTAACACATTGTATATCTTATTAGCTTTTCTTTCCTATGCTCTGTGATAATGTTTTTCATTGACAATAAATTCACTAGTTGCCCTTACTGTTTATTTGTGATTCCTGTACATATATTGCTTGTGTGTTCCATAATTATTTCCATTACTGTTTATCGTTAAACATCAAGTCCAACTACTATCCGAGAATTTTTCATTTGTGTTCATAGCATATAGTTGTGAAAGCTCAATATTTCCATTCTTGGTATTTTCTCGAACATTTGAAAAAAAATTAACTTTAATGACAAAATGAACAGCTTTGAATATTAACAACAGTGTTTTTGTAGCGGTTCTAAAAAACAAAAAAAAGGTTTGGTAACACCTTTACATTCAGTTATATCTTAAATTATATTATCTTTGAGCAGTTATTTTACACACACGAGACAGTTATGGAACTAAACCAAAATACAAATATGAGACAAAAATTTAAAACTTCTTGTCATAAAACTTTTATCAAAACATTTTCAACATGACTTTAGTTATTAGTATATATATTATATGTATATTTTTATACAATTAGCCAAAACCAGCAGATATAACATTTATGTTTCGGTTAATTAAAAGCTCTTGATTATGTAATAAGTAAAATTTGTGGTTAAAATAATTATGTATTACGAAACCCTATTAGAAAAATAACTGCATCGATACGTGATTCAACTTCTGTAAACCGATGTAATATACCTATAGTTATCGTACAGAAAATTTTATTCCAACTAGTGCAGGAATAAGTTTTTTATTTGTTTTTCTGGTGTTTGATAAGTATATATAAAAGTTTGATTTCAATATATTTTAAAACAAACCTATGCATTAAATCCTAAATATTTAAAATGGCAAAGAACAGCATTTAATAAGTCATTGTTTAAAGAGTTCAGCGGACAAAGTTTAACAAAAACTGTATTGAAATTATCATTGTCACAATACATCAGTCAGCTCAGTTAAGTAACAGAGATCCAGTTCTTAGTAAACAAGATAACTGATTCAAGTTTGTGTGATATTTTTGTATTCCCTACGTTGGTGTGTTGACACATGAAATAGTTCTGAAAACAATTCCCTTCTCTGTCCTCTAACGATCTCGATACGGATCTTTTTGAAGCGTAAATCTTAGTTACTCGCATTTCTTCTCATTTTGATGAGTTGACATCCAACAGAAAATAGGTAAATTTTCATTTTCGATCCAACAATTTTAAGATTATCTGGTCTCAGTCTTTGCTTCCAGGTGATTTGATAAAGAGTCTCATTCTGTCAGGCTAGAAAAAACAGTAAGTTTAGTAATGTGAAATGGGAAAAATGTTTAACACGGGGTATATAGAATTTTGTAGTGCCCTTTCAGTGTTATTTCTAGTATAGTGGTACTATTTTTGCTAATGAATGCACTTCGTAACTTACTTTATTGAGATTATATGTAAAATGAAATGATTAGCCATACTATATACCTTCTAAGATCTCAGTGGTGTTATTCTCAAGTGGAATGAGATATAATATACGTTCCCACGTATTACGTATTACAGCGTAGGCCTGTAAAATTTTGGTTTTGTATCAATGAATTATTTAGTTGTTGGATCCTAAGTAGTAGTTTACAAACACATAACCTTCTGACACTTTGTTCGTTCATTTTAACGTGAAAATTGCAATGTTGTAGTCATCAAGTAGAAATATGGGTTACGTTTTTTGTTTGTCATATGCGATTTATACTGAAGAGGGAAAGGTGGGACATCAGCATGATGGATAATTACTGCTGGTCATTGAAACGAGATGCTCCAGACGCAATACATAAAAGAAAGACCACATCACGTGGTTTTGAGACTGAAACACGTAGATTTCACAAACACACACACACAAATCAGCATGAATGAGGATGCATATTTGTTTGACATCAATGTTCTTTCCTTGTTTTTAGTTTGTTTGTATTTTTGTTAACAAACATTATAATAAAAAATGTTTATTGTGGTAAACGAAATAATCATTTGATCTAAGTAAGAGTTTTTTCTTCCCGATTTTTAAAAATATCCTTACGTGATAGAAAAAAAATTCATATTATTATCGAAATTTGCAAAGCTGAGTTATGTAAAATCCGTTATTAAAACCAAAACAACTTTTATGAAGTTTAAATTCGTAGGTCTGTGTCATTGGAGAAACCTCCACAGAAAAAAAAAAGAGATAAGAGGAGATTAAACGAAAACTCTATAAGTTGACTGATGGTGATATGATCATAACTTCAAATCGAGGAAATTTTGAATGACATAATTTATGTAGCCATGCTTTGAATAAAATAAACTCTTTGGCTTTACTTAGAACACTCTGTTTTCTTTGCTTCAAGAACATAATATGTGTTAAAATTTTGTTTTGTTCGCGCAAAGTTACTCGAGAACTATCAGCACTAACCGTCTCTAACTGAGAAGTGATAGGCTGGAGGGATAGCAGCAACCAACTATTTGTCTACTCTTTTAACGAAAAGTGGGGTTGAGCGTCATATTATAACGCCCCACCGCAGAAAAGGCGAATATGTTTGGTGACGGGATTCGAGTTCGCAATTCGCAATTTGCGAATCGATTACCCTAACCACCAGGATATGCCAAGCCTCTAAAAATACTTGATTTCATCTTAGTAATATCTTATTGAAGCGAACTTACCGGCAGGATTGTGAACCAGCAAGTGAGATCTTCTGACACAGTCATGACAGCACCAGCGTTATCGAACTCCCCACAGTAGTTAGGAGCACTGAATATCGTTACCAACTAAAACATGTTAAAAAAAATCATGGAGCTTCTTTCAAACATTGCACTGAAAATATTTGGCAACAGAAAATGTTACAAACTTACTTGCAGTTATAAGTGGATCCAAATATTCACTATAGTGTTTTGTGTAGTTACATTTCCTTGTTTAATATATCTGGATTGATTCTGCAATATATTTGTTTATTTAATTTCTGGAGTGCATATTAGTGTAAATAAGACATATTGATACTGGAAATAAACGACGTTATAACACCAAAATGCTGTTATTATTTAATTAGACACTCAACGTTTCGCTTTACAGTGTCTTCAGGACTTCACTAAAACAAAAATCAAGACTGACAGCATAAGGCTTCATGAAGCTTTCTACTGTCAGTTTTTGTTTTTGTTTCAGTGAACGCTCCTGAAGAAGCTGTAAAGCAAAACGTTGAGTGTCTAAACACCATTTTGGTGTTATAACGTCGTTTATTTATAGTATTAACATATTTGTTTTATATAAAACTACTCGCTTATTGTTAATCATAATTTTCTACTATCAACCCAAATTGTAGAGTTGTTATTCTTTTAAAAATGATCTTGAATAAGAGGTCTGATTGTTAGATCCTCTACCATTTTTAATGAGAGAGAGACAAATACATTTTACAGAAATTATTAATAAATTACACTTTTAATTACAGTATGAGTAAAATTGCTCACCTTGAATCGTAGTAATATAGAACAATATCTAGCGGTTAAAAAAAAGGAAACCAAAGCAACAGTATCGTCCGCTTCAGAGTTATGGACTACAAATTATCATTGAAATCCATTTTATTGAAATTAGAAGTAAACCAGAAAGATTCTGGTAAGCAACAATACAGGACATTCATATTAAAGGTTTTTCATACCTAGCATGTGCTTGAGACGTTAATACTTAGGCTATGATATTTATTGACAAACTGTTATTATATGTTTTATGCTGTTAACAAGAGCAATTGTTCGCATAAATAGGGGGATGAAAATCACCTATTTACATGAAACATAATGTTCAGTTATAGGTACTTTATGGGTAATAAAACTTTATACACGCGTTACTTTAAAACGCACGGAATTCGAGTAGATTTCCAATATATCGACTAACGACGAGTACGTTTTGTTTGTTTCAGAAGTTTCCTGGTAAAGTATCGAAATACGTTTTTTGTTGTTGTTGTTGTTATATTAAGTATACGCGTTCGGCTCTTTTACATTTTGTTCCTCTTCATAATAAATGGATATTACCAGTTGTGTTTTATACTCTTTTACATTTATTGCCAATAGATTTTCCTATTAGATAACTGATAATACATGTAATGACCTGGCTAAGAGACAAACTGGATGATACTTTCAGTATTCGGTATTTACAATAAATGTTTTGGTTAAGTAGTCATTCAGTAACAATTATGATATTTCATTTGATGGCTATTACTATTTAGTTACTATACAAATGTCTATTGGTCGCGAGAGCAGTTATGCAATATGACATAAATATGATAAAAATAATAAAAAAAGCCGTTTCTCAGAGGCGTATTTAATGATATAAAATTATTCTCATGTTTTTTTTGTTTTTTACTACATATCCTTACCAGATTAGCCAGATAAATTTAAGTAACATAGAAGTAGGGATAGAAGTAGTAATATCATGCGATACAAATTCAACAAATGGTGCACGTAACATTTCTTCATTTACATTATGGGTGGTAGCATGTACCAAATGAGTTTGTTTGAAAAGTTGGTAGTAATCAAAGAGAAACTCTAGCATAGATTGCTGAAAATGTACAAATGAGCTAACGAATGACTCAAAGTGTTCTTCACAAACATGACTTTAATTGACCAGCTGCTTAAAGGGCAGATCTGGAGGTCGATAATGTTTATTGAAGTGTCGACATTTCAGCATTTTACATTTAACGGACGAACATGAATGTAGAGAGAATTAGGAGAAATTCTTCTCTGCGAATGTCTACAATCAACGTTCAAATACGGAGACTGCCGTGTCACGGTATGGGTGACATTTGGTACGACGGAAAAACTGGCCCGACGTTCCTCAAAGGCCAAATTAACGTAACACGCCACATAGAGATCCCTTCGGCCAATCTCCTACCACCGTCTACCAAGGATCACCTACATTATTGGACATATTCATCGGAAAGACATCAAAACATTCTATACTTCTCGAACAACCAACAGATGAAAGATTCGACAAGATTTCCATCTTCTTCTCCTGGCTTCACAGAGTCCTAATATGAATGCTGTTGAACATCTCGAGGATAAACTGCCACCAACTTATCCACGTTCATATAATATGAATCAATTAAAAGCTAAATTCAGCCAAATATGGATGAGACTGCAATACGACACCTCACTGATTCCATGACTAGTGAAGACCATGTTCACAAGAGGAGGTACTATCAGATATTGATCTTCGTAATTGAATATTTATTTTCATGTACAACATATGTGTTTTTGATAATAAACACACACCCGAAAATAAATTGCAATAGGGATCTGCATTAGTTCCTGCGAAATTCAACTTTTGAGTTACCCTTTTTTTACTTATCTTGCATTTTATACTACAGAAATGCAGTTTTCCAGTTTATTTGCCTCAGTGGATATCGTTATAAATATTCGCGCTATTTAATTGATACACAAAGTTACACAACGTTGTATTTTGTTGAACTTGTTGTCCACCTATTAAAATAAAGCTACTCAGTGCTTCCCAGTCTTCCCTGGTCTCGATATGTTGTAAGATTCAAGTTTCAACTCACTTAATAAACATTTAGAAATAACTATTAAAGCACTCGGTAAAGAATGTGCTTTGTTTCCAGATATTTAACAAATTGCTATCGACTGCTTTAAGCAACTACTTTTATCTTCTTACCTGTCTTTTCTGGAAAAACTGATAACCATCTTCGACAACCTAAAACAAAACAAAAAATTTCACTATATTTTAGCTCCTTGTTTTTAACAGTTTACTAGCTATTTCTAAGTTATTTTGAAATACTGTAAACCAAAGCTAGAAATGTACAGTAATGTAGGTATTGTTAAAAAAATTTCTAATGAAAACCATATGAAGTGTTAACAATCTGTAAATTGTCACACATGCAGCTGTTAAAATGGATCTCTAACTGCATGAAGAATACTAAGTACAATAGATTAGGTAATTCCAAGTTATTTCACACCCACGGTGAGGTTATTGAGGTTAATTCCTCATATTCTGTTTGTTTCGGAAGTCGTCTCTTACACAGGCAATATGTGTATTTTTTCAACAAAAGTTGACAAATGTTCAATGCTATTTAAATATCATGTAAATGTATCAAACTTAATGAAAAGCGCTTATTAGATTCTGATTAATGACATTATTTTTTGTGATCACTATTTAATATGAATATTTACCTGGTGAGCTCTGACAACTAAACTTAGATCATGTTTTTCAAGAAACATTCGAACTACGTCACCACCAAAAGTGTATGACACACCTCGATCATTTTCTCCCCAGCCTGTTATGTCCTGGAAACACAGAATTAAAGATTATACTCCAGCTTGTTATGTCCTGGAAACACAGAATTAAATATTATATTCAATTCCTTCTTTGAAATACGTTAATGTCTTTCGCCCCGATCTATCACATAAATTTATACCTAATGCTTATATCAAGTTACCCTATAAAAGTTAACTCATTTTGTTCTGAAGTGTTAACCTATCATCTTGACGTGTTTTTTTTTTATGAAATTATCCTTCTTTTCGGATTGTCTTGCAAAAACTGTCGGATTCAATGATGAGTCTTTTCCCCAGTATGGAGCCTGACACATCATCCCAAAACCAAGAGATGAAGCAGAAGAAACGTATCAATTACACTAACTAATCCTACTTGATAGAAAAACTAATTTAAATTTTAGGTGTAGTTGTTCCCATAATACATAAGAACACACTGAGTATTTAATTAAAGCGTCAGAACATTTTCTCAACCATAAATACATTTAAATCTGGGAGAGATACTATCTAGTAATATTGTGTTATCAACTGAAAATCAACAAGATCAAAGACATGGGATTTGGTGAGTTAACTGTATTGATAACCTTCATAATTTTCATAGTAATCTTTACGAAACGACTGTACGCATCTCACTGGTACGATTTCTAAGCCTTTCCCACTTTAACGATGAAGAGCTGGAAGATGTCACATCTCTTGCTTTATTATTTTTCAAGTGACCTGCATACAAGTTACAATGTACGTTCAGTTAAGGACATATAAATTAATTGAACTACAAATTATTTTGTATTATTACGTACTTTATTGCAGATTCACTGTTATTTGTTTAGAGTTACTAGCAAGTCATGTGTTAAAGCATACTATTTGTGTTATACTCTTATATGTTTTTTTTACTCCAACTCGAAACTATCTGGATAAAAAAAAAACGCAGTTGTCGTTATGTGAACCACTTTAATATAACGATATTAAGTTTACCTAGAAGGTCGGCAGAAAATGTGGTTTTCGTGTCTTTAGTATTCAGCCAGCAAAACTCAGAAGTGTTTCTCGGGTTAACGACCAAACACCCTGGATTTGTCGTCTAATTTAGTATGTATTCATTAATCACAACGAAAAGAGGAAAACTAAGTTGTAAAACTGAAACGTCTCCCAATATTTCATTTTTAAGTAAGCTTCTGCACGTATATAACCGAATATCTGTACAAAACATACTATTATACTCATAGCCCACAGATACAAGTTTCACTCCTTTGTTCACTATCGACAATTAAAGGGTAGATTATGATGCATTTATGCAAATCGACGAAGCGAATATGACAGAAATATTGGGTTATTTAAATTTATACTTCATATAAGTGTCACATTGACAAAAGAGATCTGATCTAACTTAGTCTGAGATTTCCATGGTTAATGACAGCTATACTTTTCCTAGAAACAATTTATGGGGAGAAAGATTATCATTTACTATCTTATTTCAAAACTGTCAAATGCACATGCGTAACTTTTGGGCAAACAAACAGTAAAGGGTGATGTTGATTTCAAGGAGCATGAGCAATGGAGAGAATATAGTAAATATTATGTCTCCATAAAGATTATGTTATGAATTCTGAAATGTGCTTTTTATTTTCAGAGTTTGATTTGATTTTGTAGTTACAAGGCAAGACTATGTTGTTGTTGTTAACATGTAGGTTTGGTTTAGGTTTGTTTGTTTGTTTGAAGTTAAGCACAAAGCTACACATTGGGCTATCTGTGCTCTGCCCACCACGGGTATCGAAACCCGGATTCTACCGTTGTAAGTCCGCAGACATACCGCTGTGCTACTGGGGGGCATTGGTTTAGGTTATTTTCCTTCAAATAAATTTGGTAAATTAGTTGTTTATATGATTTTGTTTGTTTGTATTAAGCACAAAGTTACACTATGGACTTTTGTGCTGTATCTGGCGTTATAGGTCCGCGGACTTATGGCTGTGCCACTAAGGCGAGGGAGGCTTATTTACATGGAGTAGTAATTATCTAAATAAATTAATTGGGTGGGAGTTGCTTTATTTTTTTACTTGGTTGTGATTTATAATAAATCCTCGATTGTTTTGTTTAAAAATTTTCTCACGACTTCTTTTCGTATTTTTATTTTACTTGGTTCATTGTGTTTTAATGTGTGTTTTTGTGTCATTCATTTCTCTCTAATTTTTCAATGCACACTTTCATTTCAAAAGTCACACACTTGTGTGAGTCCTCTACATTTGTCTTATTGTCCTCTGGTCTGTTTGGAGCATCATAAAGCTTGTATTACATCTTATAGTTTGGGCTTACCTCATCTGGATCTGACCATAGTAGATCACAGATTAGGCCGTTGTCAGGCACGTCGATCGGACGGGGTATTTGTCGAAGCTACAGTGGAATAAATATACTTCTGATAATAAATTAATTAACTTGTGATCATCTATTTACGGAGGTTTAATCATTACGGAAGAAAAATATTAGCATTCGAGCAATTCAAACAGAAATAACTAAATTCAAACTTTGCAACTGAATTCCCCAAAGTTCGTTTTGTAAACTGTTTTATATTGAGATAGTCGTATGTGTTTTCTTAAAATCTACATTTTTAAAATCATATCTGTGGACATTACAAATATTATTTGTAAAGATATAGTGATTAATTTTTTTAAAATATACATAAAAATTATAATTCAGTAAAGACTTCCATAGCATATTTCAACCCAGCAAAAATTCACTATGTCGATTTGTCTATAGTGATTACCAGAAAGCTAATGTTCACTATGGTTAATGAAATGATCTTTATTACTTGAGTAATGATGCTACCATGTAATGGTAGCTAACCTCTGTATCCCACAATGCTGACAAGTCGTTTTCTGTCGGAAATAGCTGTCTATTTAATTCGAACAAAGCATTTCTTGTTCGGAAACGCAGACTGCTGATCTCAAGACAAAAATGATACTTATCGGCTGAGATAAAACGAGATTGAGACAAAATTAAATTAACTGGACGACCTAGTTATTTGACCTACATTTATTGACTCGGTGATAAGATTAATTGCAAAACCCTTTTAACTGAAAACCAATAAACGTACAAGTTTCTCCTTTGTAGAAATGAACTTAACAACAAAACAAAAAATTAAAATAAACGTCAAGCCGTAATTCTCATGTACAAATCTGACAACACAAAGTTTATTTATTTGATTTAGCTTAAAGCTGCATGAAGGGCTATCTTCTCTCTATCCGTCGGTGGGAAAAGAATCCCAGATTTTAGAGTTGTAGCTTCGGAAACTTAACGTTTTTCACAGGGGAGACGACAACTGAAGAAAAACGATCGTAATAAAACTTGTTCGTTATTTTCCACTATTTTTATAACTTCAATACCTGGACTAAGGCCAAATTGCATTCCACATGTAGTTTGTTACGGATTTCGCGCAAAACTACACGAGGGCCATCTGCGCTAGCCGTCCCTAATTTAGCAGTGTAAGACTAGAGGGAAGGCAGCTAGTCATCACCACCCACCGCCAACTTTTGGGCTACTCTTTTACCAACGAATGTTTGGTGTGACAGGAATTCGAACCCGCGACCCACAAATTGCGAGTCGAGCTTCCTCCACATGTAGAACATACAAATAAACCTACCTACAAATTAGAACGCAGCACGGCCTGCAATAGCCTGTGGTTAAGACACTCGACTAGCGATATGCGGGTTAAGGATTCGAATTCCGTCACCAAACATGCCGGGCCTTTCAGCCGTGGAGGCGATATAATGTGACGGTCAATCCTAATTTTCGTTGAAGTGTATTTGGCGATGGGTGGTGTTGATTAGCCGTCTTCATGCTAATTTGTTTTTGTTTTATTTTAGAGCAAAGCTGTCTGCTGTGTCCACCGCTGGAAATCGAACTTTCCCTCTTGTCTTTCACCTTTATGTTATGGACGGTTAACACAGACTGTCTTCGAGTAGCTTTGCGCGAATTTCTACAAACAAATAAATAATAACATAACACAGTAAGAGAGAAACTGTGGTGAGATTGTTTGTTAGTTTTAGAATGTTTGCACAAAGCTACACAAAGGACTATTCGCGCATAGTCATCCCTAATTTTAAACAGAAATACTAGATGTTGTCGCATCTAGTCAACAACACCCACGGCTATCTCTTAAGCAATTCTAATCGGTTTGTAAGGTTTGACCGCCACTTTTATAGCGTAAATACGGAGCCCTCGGATTCAAAGGCCGGGCACGCTAAACTACTTAGCAACGTACGACATGCAGCGGTAAGAATACGCCGTCTATCAGACTTAGCTCCTATTCGAAAGTCTTACATTTAGAATGAAAATGTAACTTGAATTTGAAATTAGGAGAACAAATATATGGGTGATCATGACTGCAATGTCTTCTCATTTAAAATGACTATACGTCGTCTATAGTCTTTTAGGAGTATTAATTTCTCCCAATATATCAAAAAAGCAATAAGAAACATGTCGAAAAAAACAATACTGGGGATGATACTTAACATTGTAAAATGTTTTTACAAAAATAATCTTGTAATATTTTACAGTTATTTCAGTAAAAATTGACATTTTTCTCAATGTCAAACTACATATAAAAAATGCTAGAAAATTATCTAAGTAATCCTCTCAATATAAACCACAGTAAAACTAGCTGGATAAGCCTGAAAATAGAAAATAACATACTTTTGGTTTTCACCTAAGTGCCTTCAAAGTACTAATATTTCAAATAGATATCAAAATTTGTTGTTCTAAAATGCTAATTTATAAAAAAAAAGATTTCAAGTTCAAGTTTTCGTACCAAAAATTTATGACGTTCTGGTCCCACAATGAATAAAGCTACATAGTAATAATTCTATACATTGTTAAAAAAAACACTTATTCTGAAAAAGTTGACGAATATTCGTGTAGCTAAAGTAATTTTAATTAATATCTGAGTTCCTCAAATTTTCTTTCCAAAACTCTTTGACAGTGTCTAATGTTAAGATACCATAGTTTCGCAAATCTTCATTCTTTGCGATTTTTGACCTTTTCAAACATATTAGTGTTTATTTTTGACACTATATATTCCGTTGAAAACATACAATTATATATTTTCCATTTATTTACTACATAAAATATAACCAGTGACAAATTTTTGCGATTCTGAACAATTTCGGTTATTTATTTGAATTCAGTTTTGAGTTTCGAAAGTTACTGTTGCTTTAATTTTTTTTCCATTTTATCATATAATATTCAAATAATACATAGCAGAACATACCTGTTCCAAGTTCAGTAAATCAGGTGAGAGACCGCCATGCATACAGAATATTGTACCCTCTACTAAGGCAGCTAGAGAAGTATACAAATACTTGTCAAATCGTAATACTAGTCTCTGTTTTTATGTATCTGTTAAATCTTAACAGAAACTCCAAATAAAGGGCTGGAGTTCAACCAATAAATTAGCAAAAATACAAATTTTTGTGATCTCATAAACAATGTTTCATACAAGGTTCAAAGTTAATCTCTACTTAGAATTCATGAAAGTACCGATATACATATGTGGAAAAAAAAAAGTTATGTAAATGTGAAAACAAGCCAATCTGTTGTATATCATGTTAGATTATTTAAAATTTTGTTTCAAAATGTAAAATATTCAATTTTGTTTGCGTAACTTAAATAATCCCACATTATTTATCTATTAGATGTTTTCTTCTTCGTATGAAGCTCTCCTAAGCCATTATAAAATATTGAAGAAAACAATAGATAACGAAGTATTAGAATCAGTGTTAACAAAAGCTTATTTTTTCATCACTTTGACAACAAACATTTGTTAAGAAAGCTAAAACAAAACATGAGTAACAACAACCAAATCCCAAACTTGAGACTCGTTTTAAAACAATAACCCAAGCGAGAACCACGATGAAACTGGAAATAAAGTAGAAAAGTAAAAAAAAAAATAATGTTCAGAGGATATTAAAATATGTCAGTAACATAACTCTACCAGCAAGTAAAGTTTGGAGACGTCTTGAATGGATAATGAAAGAAACTTTATTACAAGTAACAAATGTACAACAATGTTTCAACAAGCTTCTGTCTGATGATTTTGGTGATGACAAAAGCTTATCGAAACGTTGTACATTCTCTAATAAAGTTTCTTTCATTACACATTCTAGCCTTCTTCAAACTTTATTGATATATTTGTTCTACCAACAAACATAAGAAATGAAATAGCATTGTACTCAGAGGCGTCGGAACTGGGGGGTGCTGTAGTAACCCCACTTTTACATATTTGACTTATACAGCAACTGTAAATTATATTATTATGGATTATAGATTGAGCTGCCTTTGGCAGCACGGGGGATGCTTTTAGCAGCTCCTTATACTTTCAATCTGTAAAATCTGCATGTCTGGCCCGGAATCCCCACTTTGTAACTCCTTCCTATACACTGCTATTATAATAAGTACTCACCTACTGGCAGGCAGTTGAAACAATCAGTGAAAGTCTTCCACAGTTTGATGCTGTATCTTCTTTTACATTCGTCATAGAATCCGTACACCCTGGATGGAAAAGTAATAGGGTGATTTGTGTATTTTATTTGTTTTTCTAAACATCTATGCTATATATATATTTATATACTATTTATTAACTTTCCTCGGGAAATCTATAAATTTCATCGTCTCACTACTAAGTACGTGGAAACATACACACACAAGGAATTTGTCTGTTTGAACAGACATGAGGTGTGCATGACATCCGATAAGCTTAGAGGAACAATATCAGCATTTGAAATTATTTGTTTGTTGATAGTTCTTGTAGTTCATTAGAAGTCGGATGATTTTAAAAGGTATTTTACTTGTGTTACTTTCTAGTCTTGAAAGTTCTGTGCAATACTATGAGTCGGAAGCTAGAGCTGTCTCAGATAACATTAAAATAATAGTTTAGATATATAATGTTCTGAAGACAGCCAGAGATCACAGAAAGTTAAGCAAGGAAGAGTTGCTTATTAGATTAAGTTTGTTATTTCTATCTTTTAAATTTCAGTAAAGTTTATAACTGTGATTACAGCACAGATAGCCCATTGTGTTGCTTTGTGCTTCAAAACAACAACGAAAAAAACAGAAACGAACCCAAATATAAATTGATAATTATAGATAATAACATTAATTAGGAATAAGAATAATATAATTGAACAAAATTTTAGCAAGGGGCTATGAAAGTTTACACACGAACCAAAGAAATACGCAAGTGAAAAGTCGTTCTTTACTTGCTAAGGTAGTGTTTTTTTGTTTTTTTTTCGTTTTAAGCAAACATAATTTTCGCTAAGACAGATTTATATCAAGTTGTATGATTTGTTTTCGCTTGAATCTTTTCTACTCTTTGTTGTTTTGTCAGCTAAAAACTTGATTTATTGCTGTTATTTGCCTTTTAGGAAAGAGGCTATTTCATATCAAATTACTACATCTGTAAACGATTATCTGTTCCCTTTATTAGGCAGTAAATTTTACTCACAAATTACACGCAGCTTTTTTGAATACTGCCTTCACAAAGTAATAATATTTGTAGCTTTATTAATTAGTTTTTGAACCATCGAAGCAATACTGTTCTTTTTCTGATGTATATCTAAAACATACAAATACACTTAATTTTCTGAAAAGCATACATTAGCAAAACCTAACATTCAAATTAGCACTTCTTTTAGATTTACATTTGAATATAAGTTACACTAAATTTATATGAAACTTTTTGGTTTCCTATAAATCTTATACATAACATCTGGTGTCCGTCGACTTGAGAGGAAAAATAACCGATAATCTCTAACTCAGCATCAGTGTACAGATACCTACATGTCAAACATGCTTCTGGCGATGCACTCTGCTTTACGTTTTGCTTCAAGTTGTTTGATCAATGAATTTTTCTAGTAAATACAGTAATTAGTTCTTTCTTCATTAGAACTATGTGAATATATTTATCGATTACATATTTATGATAGTTTATACATGAATACATTTCCGTTACATATTAGTTTTGTGCTTCTCCACTGAGTTCACGGGAGAATGTCTTTAAAATATTGATTGAGCTAGTAACATGAGCTAAAAACGTTGTTCTATTTTCAAGTGACTAGTCGAACGACGAAACAAACAGGTATATGGCTATGTTTTATTTCACTCTGTGGCTATATTAGTTTTGTGCTTCTCCACTGAGTTCACGGGAGAATGTCTTTAGAATATTGATTGAGCTAGTAACATGAGCTAAAAACGTTGTTCTATTTTCAAGTGACTAGTCGAACGACGAAACAAACAGGTATATGGC